GCTTCAGTACTGGAAATGGCCTTCCTGGCCTCCTCATTAGTAAGATACTGGATGAGGGCTGCTTCTGGATCTCCCTTAAAAGCAACCTGTAAGAAAAAACAAAAGCATCAACCAAAACACCCCACAGAAATTAACAAATAGTTAAATTCAAGTAAACTATTGATAAAGAATTCAAAAGCAGAGAACAGCCTGCTGAAATCCATTCTGAATACTTTGTAAAGTTCTCCATCCCTCTAAAGGATAATATGCATATTTTCCAAAATTATACAGTAAAGAATATTATCTTATTCAACAAATAATCCTAGTAATGTTACCTAACCACTTGGGGAAAAGTTGTTAGATCCCTCCCAGATATCTTACATTCAAATAAACTCCAGAAAAAGAAACTATTTTACAATACCCCAAAAAACCTGATAAAAACACAAAGGGAAAAAGGTGGATATCTGTATAATCTGAGTGTCTGGAAAACCTTTTTATGCATACATATCAAAGTCGGATGCATAAAGACAAAGAACAGTAGATTCTACCACATAAAATTTTAAAATCTGTCAATCCGCATATGCCCTAAACTGAATGATGAATGGAAAAAGTATTTTTTATATGACAAGCAGTGGCTTAGAAAAGCACTACTGTAAATACCTTCATAAAGAATGGGCAAAGACAATAGGCATATCCCAAAAAAACCCTACAAAAGATCTATATAAATTAGAAACCTATTTTTAAGAAGTTAAAACAAGTATAATTTTTCACTTATGAAACTGGCTAAAAAAATTTTAATGGATCCATATTACAGTGTTGATGAGGCTTCATACAGTGCATTTAGGAGTACCAATTGGCACAACCCTTTTGGAGAACCATTTGGCAGCTCAAATAAAAAGTCTTAAAATTCCCTTTAATTCAGCAATGCATCATAAAAAAATAATGAAGGTTCAGCAACAAGGTGGCTCACCACAGCATTGTTTTTATATAAAGGAATAGAAACAACAGAAATTCCCAAAAACAAAGAATAGTAAATAAATGATGGCCTATAGCTAGGGACTGATTTATAACCCCTTCCCAAATTCTTATGTTGAAATCTTCACCCCCCAGCGTGACTACATTTGGAGTTAGAGCTTTTAGGAAACAAAGTTAAATGAGGTCATAACAGTGGGGTCCTAATCAGATGGTACTGGAAGCCTCATAGAAAGAGGAAGAGATCTCTCTCCTCTTCCACAATTCGAGGACACAGCAAGAAAGTGGCCATCTGCAAAGCAGAAAGAGAATCCTTGTCAGGAACCAAACTGGCCAGCACCTTAACTTTGGACTTCCCCCCAGATAAGTTTTTGTTGTTTAAGCCACCCAGTCTATGGTATGTTTTATGGAAACCAGACGAGACTCAGCTACCAAACTACATTAAGCCATCTTATTTTTCTAAATGCCATAAATAATAATGACCCAGGAAACACGTAAGAGAAAAAAAGTAGTCAGAAACATTTGGTATGACTTTGTATTCTTGAAGTGTGTAAAGTATTTTTAAAAAGAGAACATGTGGGGTGCCTGGGTGGCTCAGTTGGTTAAGAGTCTGCCTTCGGCTCAGGTCAAGATCCCAGGGTCTTGGGATCGAGCCCTGCATTGGGCTCCCTGCTCAGCGGGGAGCCTGCTTCTCCCTCTCCCTATGCTTGCCGCTCCCCCTGCTTGTGCTTTCTCTCTCTGTCAAATAAATAAAATCTTTAAAAATAAATAAATAAAAATAAAAAGAGAACACGTGTAAGTATGCATATGTGTGTTCTCCCATATAAACAAATATAGTATGTCTTTTCATTGAAATATTAATAATTGTTATTGCAAAGTAGTGCTATTTAGGTGATTTGTTTTTTTCACTTTTGTTTAATGTATTTCCAATCATCTATAAAATTAAACATGTACTACATTCAGGGACAAAACCTGCTTAAAAATCTCTCAAAAAAATTTCTTTGAGTTCTTTGAAATACCAAATTTCCTAATACTACTTTCTTACCTCAGTTATATAAATCACATTTTGGTTTGATGACAACATTAACCATCAGGGTGACTAACTGAAACTGCAAATTAATGAGACCTTCAAGTACTCTCAATCACAGCGTAACACTTAACCACAAATTCATAAATTGGAGACAGAATACAAAAGCTACAATTTATGAGATATTAAATAACATGTTACACACTGACTAAAATTCTCAAGATTAGAACCATCCTTAAACAATTACTATTTCACTACAATGAGTCATTCAGTAGACAAAACTGCAATCTTAGAAATCACCAAAAATCTCACCTACCTAGTGAGAATACTAAAGCAGATTAAAAAGTCATTTGTCCAGAGATAGCACTATGAACAAAAATATGCTAACTAGCCTCTGTGTCTTTCAGGAAGAAGTTGTGGATAAACAAATGCATAAAAAAACAAATTCAACTTAACAGTTTCATCATAAAGTTGGGCATAGAGCTATATAGTGGAGCTTAAAACACTTAGCAAAGACAATCAGACTAATTATTGGCTCATTTAAGCAAAGTGAACTGATAAGAATAATTTCAAAGATGCATAAAACCACATTAATTCTGTCACCAACCTAGGCACATTTACCTGGATGTTTACAATAGTTCCAAATTTGCTGAAGTGTTCGTTGAGCTTGGTAATGTTGTTCAATTCCTGAGGGATTTTCTTGACTTCTAATTTGGTGTTTGTATACTGATTCTTTCTCAAGAATCCTGGTTTACTCTGACTGTTATTCCCTTGCCTGAAAAGAATATTAATAGATCTTGATTAATTCCACCTTATGCCTAGCCACGAGAAAGGCCAACAAATAATTTAAGTTTATATGTATTGAAGTGTCATCTGTAAGACATTCTTACATTCTTGAGAAAGTACTTAACATTCTTCAGAAATTACTAAATAATTTTCACATTTTCCTTTTACATGGGAACAGAACAGGTGGAGAGAAAGAAAAAAGATTAAAAAGAGCAAAAGATCACAAAATGAAAGAGGCCCAAATAAAAATAAAAATCAAATCCTAAAGAGATCCACGACAATTACCAAGGAGTCTAACTTTAAAGCAAGGAAAGAACATTTTTTTTATGGAGTATTTTTCAACTTCTACAAAAGTACGTAAGTTTTTCTTCTTTTCTATTCATTTCCAGTGTCTCAATAATTCTTAATACTGGGCTAGGCCTATATATAATAAATACAAATTACTAATATCTATTATTAATATTGTTAGCTCTTCCATTTTAAGATGTTCCAATGATGCCTCTGGGAACCCTAACTTTGAGACACATAGTTTGAAAATCATTAATGACAACTCTTAATTTTTCAAATTTACTAATGCACACAAAAATAACAAAAACACCAATTAGATGTTACTAAGTAGCAAATTATCTTACTTTCCCAGCCAAGGTTTCTTTGTGAGTGGCCCTTCCAAACCACTTATAGCTCTTTTCCGGCTATCTGGCTCAAGAACTACTCTGGTTATGTTGCTATTAATTGAAACAGGAACTGGTGGTTCAGTCTGGATGACAATGTTAGCAGCTGTTGGAAACAAAAATTAACATTACTAACAATGCATGGTATTTGGGGAATTTCAAGTGATTAAAATATTTAGCCTAAAAGCTAAAAAAGCACAGTGAACAGCACCCAACTACCATTTCCTTTTCAGAAATGCTTAACAGCAAGAAAAAATTATCAACTGCCTTTTTCTCCTTTGTTAAAAATACAATATCCAAAATACAATATCCAAGTTTAAAAAGTCATAGGCAACTCCAATGTAATAACTGATTCAGGCAAGGATCCTCAATGGATGCAACAAAAGAAAAAAAAAGCAGTGAAAGACTGTTAGAGAACAAGATTTTTTTTTTCAGAAATTTCTTTTTTTTTAAGACTATTTATTTGAGAGAAAGAAAGTGTTCACGGGGGGGGGGCACACAAGCAAGTGGGGAGGGATAGATGAGAGGGAGAAGTAGGCTCCCAGCTGCCTGGGTGAGCAGGGAGCCCAATGGGGGGTTAAATCCCGGGACTCTGGGATCACGACCTGAGCTAAAGGCAGATGCTTAACCAACTGAACCACCCAGGTGCCCTGAGAACAAGATACTTATATGGTGCCAAAGTATCACTCACAAATGATTACACTACAAAGGAGAGATCTAACAATTATCATCTCAGGCAAGCAATCAAACTTAGCACCATAAATATAGTGAAATTATTTGTATTCTGATGTGATTCAACAAAAAGTTCACCCAGACAGGATATTATTATGAAATTATGATTTTCCTATGTGTAGCAAAGATACTGTGCTTATATAGGACTACACCTTATTCTTGGATGTAAAATAAAGGATCTAAAGTGCACAATCTCTACAATACACTTTCAAGTAGTTCAAGAAAAAGAAATGTGAAGGGAGAAGGGAAGAAAGGAGAAAGAGAAGAATGTACATGTATACAAGCAAGTACTCCCACCTGAAGGTGATAAAACGGTAACAGATGACAAACCAAAGTGAAGGTATTCAGATGTTCATCGTACTTCTTTTGATTTTTTGTAGGTTTAAAATTTTTCAAACTCAAAAGTTGGGAGGAAAATCCAAAGCCAATACTATAAACTGGTATATTTCATTCACAACATTTAAGACTAAAATACTTAAAAGAAACTGACCTTACAATGGCTTATCTGTGGGTGGGAAGAGGTGTGTTGTAAAAGTAAAACTAGCAGCAAAGAATAACATGTAGAGCTAGTTGTTAGGTCGGGGATGAGGGGTGGAGGTAGTATATACCATTTCACTGTGTGACAGGGAAATTGTGAGGCAAGTTCACTCATATAACATATATTTCTTCAGCAGCTGCTATAGCTCCAACAGTTATATTAGACCTTATGTATGAATTAGTGAATAAAGTAACTATGATCTCTGCCCTGTTATGGCCTTTGTTTTCAGAAGACTAATGGAGGAGATAGCAATTGTGATGGCATGAAGCATTCTAGAATTTGAGATGCCATTATATCTTCCCCAGAACAGTTATGATTACCTCTTAACATTGCCTCGTGCTTTTCTTTATTGAAGTGTTTTATAATAAAAGGAAAGTATAGCCAGAACTTCGATGACTTGCCAACATGACAAACCAAGCCTGCTATACAAAAACCACATGACTTCTACCTCAGTGAGTTTAGCCATGAATTACTATACATGAATGCATACAAAGACCAGACTAGTGGCAAAGGGAAAACATGAATTTCTGAGAATATGATCTTCCCACTAATTTCAAGTAATCTGGTAATAATTTATGCATTATAGCACAGAAGGTAAAAGCATATTCTTCAGAATTAGATACACCTGGGTTCAAGTTCCAGTTCTGTCATTAATAGCTGTGTGACCTTGGGCAAGATCTTTAACCTCTCTAACCCTCAGTGTCTTTATCTGTAAAAAGAGAATAAATATAGTACCACTTTCAAGGAGTTGTAGGAAAGGAATACAAGAGATAATAATACATATGAAAGCATTTGGTTTCATCTTGACACAAAACTGTTAGTCTGTAGTGGTAACACTGATATTAATGGCAGTAAAGAAAAGTTAATAAAAGCAAGATAGGAAAGAAGGTAAGAACAGGAAAATGGACACCATATAATTAAATCAGGATGGCCCATGGCCAGTCATTCAAATTCAAATTAAATATTACAGATCAAACTACATAAGTAAGAAGAATTGCAATGTCATCAAACTTTCTAGCCCAACCTTTTAGAGGGGAGGAAAAAGAAGGACATCAACCCATATTAAAGGTAAATGCTTGCATTTAGTCTATTTTATTTTTTTACATTTAGTCTTTAAAGGTTTGTGACTATGCTTTGCAAAGGTCCTAACATATGGTTATAATCATAAATACTAAAAAAGATCAAGTGATTTTATTATAGTGTTTCAGATTCTCAGTTATTAGTATGAAGCATAGCTCTTATGATACAAAGTAGGCCCTTAAGTGATCAGTTTCTCTGAGGGCAAGGGACCATGTCATTTCATCTTTCTTTACCTAATATCTAACACTGTGCCCAATAAATAGCTAAAACAGCCTAAAGGTCTACAAAAATAGCAATTAAAAAATATAAGTATTATTTTTATTTTAAAATAAATATGTTCTAATTATAGCTTTAAAATAAAATTTGGAGATACAGTTACTCAAACAAATTTACTTGATATGATTACATAGCACTCTTCAAAAAGACAATGTATAAGTAATTCTGGACTTTGGTGAGGTCTGAAATGCTATACTGAATTCCTGTATAACAGCATCAAAGAAAGTATGAGGCAGTCTCACCTCTTGGATTTGCATCCATATCTCCAGATGTTAGGCCAATCAAGTTTGGGCGCTGTGTCTGAGTTCTTGAAAAGAACTGTCTGTACTGAGATCTACCAGAACTGGTAATACTAGGAGCTTCTGGATTATAACCATCTGGTTCATACGTATCTGGGGGAAAACAAAACAACAAAACACGTAACAAATCAGAGAGAAGTTAATTTCTCATTAATAAAATAAACTGCAAAAAATGAATTTTTTCTTCAACAAATATATCAACCTATACATATATACCTGAATTACAGTATATAGACATACCTATTAGCAGTGAAAGAAATGAAAATGCTCCTGTCCCAAAACACAGATACACAGATCCATTCTTGATTACAGAGATATTTCCAGATTTATTTACCTAGCCATTTTTATCCTCTATATTAATCACCTAGTCCTAACATCAATGAACATTTTAAGAGAAACATGCACATATATGAATATAATATATAAAGGACTGGTTGAGTTTCCTCAGTTATCATGTCTCACCAATTTCCAGGTGCCCTTTTAATTAGGGGGAAAATCAATCTACTAATTTGGTTATCTACACTTTAAAAGGGAGATATAATAGCTGGTTTCATACATAAAACATTTCAAATGCTTTCTTTCAAACAGCTAAATAAGATAAATTTTATATGTCTAAACATAATCATGATCTTACTACCAACAACCTCATCAATGTCACTTTTATCATGTTCCCTTTGTTTTCTCTAAAAATACTTATTTTTAAAATTCTATTGCTAAATAACTATCTTGTTAGTGTTAAAGAAATTGAGTATTCATCTCTAAATAGTAAATATCCTCTTCATCCTACATAAAATCAAAGAACGGTAAAGATTAAGTGAAGACACTGGTTTTCCCCACTGCGCTTTAGAAGTCCTTGCATCTCTTTTTTATTTTCTTAGTGGAAAAATTCTCTATGGCGTTCATAGGAAGTTTCAGCTACAAGGTAAGAGACATTCAGATCCTTAATAATGGCCAATCAGTTCTATGATTCTAAGTAGAAGATCAGCAAATTATTATAAAAAAAAGTTTTCAGTTACTACTTGGTAGTCTTGACAGAAGAGCTCCTATAGTTAAATCTCCTATAGCTGTAGAATGTTTTAAAGAAGTTACATAATCAAATGACCTTATTCCTGAGAATATAAAGAACCCCTAGAAACTTAAAAGTCCTTAAGTCAATTATGATGAACTGAGATCCAAAGGCAAAGTGAGAAATGTTAAAAACCTCATGAGACACCCACAAAGCATTCCACGCAGGTCTTCAACATGTACACGCAGGTAGGAGGGAAGAGTTTTCAAGAAATCACTATATTATACACAGCCAGTCAACACACAGGGCAGAGGGGAGAAAAAAAAGACATGTTCATCCTTGATCAGCAAGAAATCAGATGGTTTGGTTTTGTTTTTTAAAAAATTATACTCTAGTTTTTCTTGAAATGTGTGACTGATTAGAAAACATTCAAGTAGATATCCTCTTCCTATTTATTGGATTAGAAATCAAAGAACTAGCATGACTTGTTTCTGAGGCATTAAAACTCAAAATAGAGGACACCAGAGATAACAGACACACAGGAGGCCTCATCATCTATCAATCAGTAGGGACAAATCAAAGAAGCAGAGAAACAGGGAAGAAAACTACCTAAGAGGTTTAATGGGAATTTGTGACAGCAGATCAGGATGCCAGTCACCACTTAGGCTGGCAAGCTGTGGTACAAAAGATCAGAGAGATGGATGGCCATTTGTAGCAAAGCTTACCTGGGACCAGAGGGGTGGGGCTGGAGACTGAGGTATGGTACCCAATGGAGGATCCCATGAGGTTTCGAGGTGGCACCAAACGAGCTGCCAACAGAGGAGGCGGTGTCCCCAACTGAAGTCGCTCAGATGCAGCAGCACCATGTTCACGAGAGTACATGGGCTGTCCTACAGAGGAAAGAATAGGAGGGCAGCTGGGAATGAGAGTCACAAGCTTCTCAGGTAATGCCTTATTTCCTGAGACTTCAGCCAAGAACAGAGAAAAGTACACCAATGGGAATGTCAGTCGAGAAAGGTATTACTGAGATTCTTCCTAACTCCAGAAACAGACATACAACTAGTTAGGATGCACTGAGGTATAAAGAAAGAGTAAGAATTAGGTAGTATGACCTGTATAATCTCCATCTTTCATAATCTGAAGTGAATAACTATGCGTTAACTGTACACAAAACTGAACAGTCAAGCATATCACACTATCAGACAAAGGTGCCCTAAGCTATTATTCGTGTAGAAACTTGTATCCAATAAAACATGCAGTTTTGAAGACTGTCATACCCATTAAAAACAAAAATTCTTCTCCTAAAACTCACACAATTTCAGGTTCACACAAAACATACTCCCATATCTGAGGGCAGAAAAAAGAAGAAATTAAAAAAAAACACACACACATACACACACACATACACACCCCCACAAGGATACCCTCACAGAGAATAAGAAACGTTCAAAAGAAAAAAACTAAACAAGATAGTGAAAACTTGCTACCCCTTAGCAGGTGGATAACAAGTACAAACAAAGAAAAAAAGGACAAAACCCCAGACACACAGACCAACCACTGTACATATGAAATTACCTCAGATATTAGGAACCACTTTTTGAAAGAAAGGACATTTAGTGCTCACATTTACTAATGGAAGAATGTCTGACACAATGAAGTCAAATTTGGTAGAAGAGGATTTAAAAAGAAGTATCAAGGAGCAGTTTTTTTCTTTCACTGGTCACTTACTAGTATCTGTTTTACTGACTACCCCCATGAGACCTATTTATAATATTTACTCAATATTTTATACCTAAAGTCAGACATTCACTATGTGGCTCAAGACAAAGTGAATTTAGAATTATTTTTTATACCCAATGAATGTCCTTAAAAGTTATAAATTTCCAAAAGATTTTTAATACACTTTAACAGAACAAGCCATAAAGCAACCACCTGATTTCATAGGAAATATAGAAGGGAAACAGATGTACTAAATTTTACTATCTTTCTCTTCCTATGTATGAAGCAAAGAGACAAGTGACAAATCATACTGTACAGCAGACCACAAAACTGTGCGCTTAGCATCAATTCTTTCAATATTTACATTTAAAAAGTCTCTTTCAACCATTATATTACAAAAACAATCTAACATATCAACAATCTAAAAATAGTTGTAAGAACGACCTACTGTGCAGAATTTCCTGCAGAATGAAGGAGTGTACTAAAGAGAAAAATGGGGAAGTGCATTCTCAGTCCATATGACTGGTTTAATTTTTGTTTTTGTTTTTTTTTAAAGATTTTATTTATTTATTTGACAGAGAGAGACAGCGAGAGCAGGAACACAAGCAGGGGGAGTGGGAGAGGGAGAAGCAGGCTTCCCGCTGAGCAGGGAGCCCGATGTGGGACTCGATCCCAGGACCCTGGGATCATGACCTGAGCCGAAGGCAGACGCTTAACGACTGAGCCACCCAGGCGCCCTGGTTTAAGTTTTTGATGTACCCAGTATATTTAACTAATAACTGTCTCAAAGTGAACTGGAAAGTTAAAGGCTAATTTGCACAATGTCCCTTCAACATGAGTGACAAAGAACATGCATTTAATTTATTCAAATGAAGCCTGATGTTCTTCAACAACACCTACTCTCTCAGTATTATTTAAAAACAAAAAGCTTCCTTAGACAAAAGGCTGATTCTAGGTCTGGGCAGAAAATTAAGATGAACCTGGTATACCGTCATATATATATATATATATATATATACACACACATACACACACACACACATATATATACACCATCATATATATATATATATATATATACACACATACACACACACATATATATATATACCGTTTTATATATATATATATACACACATACATACACACACACACACATATATATATATATATACAACTTGTGTTTCCAGAAGCAAGACAACTATGGAACATTAGGTGTATCAAAAACAAAACAATCTGCAGGAGCCAACACGAAGAGGCTCCCATGGTCAAAGATGAAACAATGTGAACACCAAAAAGGATGTAATGGGGTGAAACGTATCAAACATGTTAAAAATCCATGAGTTCATAATGATCCCCTTTGGAAGACACAAGGAAAGCAGTAATTCATTATTCTGAAAACTGACAAATGAAAGGAAACAAGTATTTATCCTGTCTTTTATAAAAACTGCATTTCAAGTTAACCAAATGGTTAACACTACTGAGTTTCACTTCGTAGAATGCCTGTCAATAAACGTAGAAGAAATTACAGAATTAGAATCACACTATTATAACCCCTAATGAAACAACAGATCTAAGCAGTGATCACAAATGGCTGCTGAAACCATGAGCAACTTTTAAAATGGATGAATCAGAATGAAAACAACTGTACACACTGATCAATGTTTACAACGAAGGAAAAAACCCAACATTATGTACATCATGAAATACTGCAGTAGGAAGTACATCAATAAAATATTCATGACCAAAAAAAACAAAAAAACAAAAAAACAACCACACCAACCTGAATCTAAAGTCTCCAAATTTAGCCCCTAATTTACAGGAAATATAGAGGACTGAAGAATGTGTTAAATGACACAAGTGGAAGCAATATGCCAAGTCCAGAATGTGAAAAAATTCTTCAGGACAATGATCTGTTTCTTAAATAAATGTCAAGGAAAAACCAAAAACCAAGGAAAAACCAAAAAAGAGGTAAGGGAAATCGTTATAGATTTAAAGACTTAAGAAAGGTCTCTTCTAAATGTAATATATAACCTTGGTTGGATGCAGCTTCAAAGAACCAGCTGTGAAAGGACACCTATGATACAATTTGGAAATATGAACACTGATTGGATATTTGACAACAGTAAATATTTTGGGAGTGTGATAAAGTATTATAATAGTGTGTTTAATCCTTATCTTTTAAAGATATATATTTAAGTTCTTACTGATGAAATGTTATGTTTGGGGGTGGCTCTAAAATAATCAAGTCAGAGGTGAGTTACAGATGAAGCAAGATTAATCATATATGTTGAGGAGCGTTGAAGCCTCTGAGTACCTGAAGATTCCTGCAGTATTTGTTTTCCTTCTGTGTATATCTGAAATTTTCCAAAATAAGTTTTTCTTAAATCAAATAGGTTACAATAATGGTGAAGGTGAGCTGGTCACAATTTAATTCATTCAGTTTAGTTCTGATGGGCATAAAGAGTGACTAGATAATTCCAAACTACAAACATCCCAAGTTCATGCTCCTCTCTTGTTTTTCGTATTTCTTACATGCTGGAGAGCAAAATTTTCACATTCTTAATCTTAACTCTAGTCAGGTGAAGACAGTCTTTATGCAAACTGAAATTTTAGCTACTCTGTAATTTCCTGATTTTGTCATTAAGAGTATTCCCAGGAAAAAAATCTTAACTTTTAAACTAAAAGCTCAATTAGGAAACAAAAAAGCTACACCTTCCAATTATTGGCCATATTTATCATGTATCTTCTGTATTAGAATCTAAGGTACCTGGCACACCATCCGAAGCTCCAGGGCCTAAATGGTGCCTGGTGCATAGTAGGAACTCAATAAAGAGTCACTTAACTAAAAGATGAAAGCTTATTTATTAAAAGTATCCCAATGACAAGTATTTTGGATGGAACTCTGTATGTTGAAATGGGCAGTAAGATATTGAATGTAAGACAAACCAAAGTAAAACACAAAGGGAGAGAAACCCAACAATATTCAGTGACTCTACGGGATATCAATATGCTTCTCTAGACATCAAAATCCATGATTCTGCACTGAGAAATGTTCCACAGGATTAAACGAGGAATCTCAAGTTTAATAGGAATATAGTGTTTCACTAATTTTACATAGTTGATAACAGGAGATATATCTTCAGAAAGATAAAGATAATTTACATAAATTCATTTGAAGACTACAACTTCCTTCAACCTAAAAATCAATTGGTAGAATACAGAATATTATATTCTATTACTTTTTCACACACTCATTAGAGTGAGCTTAGCAATCATAAAATAGTCCTACCATGTCTTCTTCAAATAAACTTAAACAGGTTGAATTTAAGGGAAAAAAAGGGAATATACTTGAAAATGGTACTGTGAAAACCAAAAACGTATATAGTGAGTTGGTTAATTCAAATTTGTGTAAAATATTTTAAGTACTTCAGAGGAAATAGTTGATTTTAATAGGTGTTACGATATTGCTCTCTTTCCATAAAATTTCAATTACATCTATTATTTAAGTCCTTTTCAGAGTATCTGTGACATTTTTAATTCAAGAAACAACAAAATTTCAGAGTTTTTTCCAAACTATATCCATTTGACATCAAGTTTTAAATACCATTACTATGAGCCACCGATATCCTACCCAGTTATATGATGTGGATAATTTCTTTTCTTCTGTTAATATTCAATTGCCTTTTCCAAAACAAGTAATAACCACAGCCAAAATGAGTTTTATTTTTGACAGTTAGTTCCTTTGTCACCTCTATTTCTGAGCCACTCTGCTCATCCAGTCCTAACAGCAAAATACACTGTACTTGTTTTTTTAAAACATATTTCTTTTCCACTATTAAGGTTTTTGCTTCTTAGAAGAATCATTTCTTAATTCATCTGTATATTCCCAGTACCTAGCATTGAGTAGACTCCTATTTTTACCTCTAAAAATCCAGATTTCATTTTTCTCTGTATATTCCAGATCTCTACTGACATAATTTTCATAACTAAATACCATCTGATACACTCTATCCCACTTATAAACAATCTATGTAATGAAATTTAAAGATAATTTTGACAATGAAATATCCGTAATTTAAACTTTCCCAACTTACTAAACTTTGAGAGCTAACATTGTAAACATAGTTTTTTACTTCATTTGAAGTGAAGTTCTAATTTTTTTGGAAATTACTGATTATACTATTGAGGAAAGCATACCTGAACAATTTGAAAGATTCAACTTACCTGCCTAGAATGAAATTAAAAAAAAAAAAACTTTTTAAGTCAAGTGAATAGAAAGATACAAAAAAATGTATAACAAACTACATTAACACCAAAAATAAAATGTTGTACTGTTTACACTGAGATCAGAAACTATCTCCTACATTTTCAAATTTCTCTATAAATTTTAGAATCAAAATTTAACTTTTAAAAAAGGAAGAGAGGGGCTCCTGGGTGGCTCAGTTGGTTAAGCATCTGACTCTTGATTTCAGCTCAGGTACTGATTTCATGTGTCATGAGATCAAGCCCTATATCAGGCTTCAAGCTCAGTGGGGAGTCTGCTTGAGATTCTTTCCCTCTCCCTTTGCCCCTCCTCCCACTCACGTGTGTGAGCTCTCTCGCTCTAAAATAAGTAAATCTTTAAAATAAATAAATAAGGAAGAGAGTAGTTTGCATAGTACAAAGTTTTAAATTGTCTGATACAAATAATTCTGTAACTTTCAAAATATTCAGTTGACAACCAACTAAATCTCTTTAAACCGCTGATGCAATATATGAGACTATCCTCCTCTAAATCAGTAATTCACAAATGCCAAAAGGATGTTACCACCTTTTACTGGTCTGAGACAAAAAAGAGGGAAAAAATGTAATTAGTATTTAAGAAAACCAAATGTAAAAGGATAGTCTTTTAGCCTGTATTTTAATGTAAAAATTTATTTTTTAAATTGAAATGACCCTAGATATTGTCACATACAATTCTACAACGTGGCAAATAAAAAGTTGCTAACTGCACTGCTCCCCCAAATTTTCTTAAAAATGTTACCAGCATCTGAAACAGAAGTTTGGAACTTATATGTTTTAAAAGGCCTTTACACAAATATTTTTGCTTTTAAAAAGAGAAAAATGGTGTTCAAGTAACATGAAGTTTACCTTTTTTCATGTTGGCTCTCAAGCATGTAGCACAATGCCTGGCACATAGAAGGCATTCAATAAATACTTGCTCCATTAATGAATATGAAGCTAAGTCATAATGGTAACTGCCAGATTTTTATAAATTAAAATCAAAACGGAATTTTTACAGGGTGAGTCACGATGTTAAATTTACCAATATTAAAATAAATGGTAATTGCCAGACTTTTTAAAAAATTCAAAACAAAACAGAATTTTTATCGTGAGTCACAATGCTAAATTTAACAGTAAGAAAATGTGCCATCTGCAACAAACTCTCAGATAAATAATCCATTTTTTGTACTTACAAGTCCAAAGGCATTAAGAAATAATGTTAAGAGATGAACTGGGGAGAATAAATGATACAGGACTGATAAATCTTGAAGCTGAGTAATAAGTATATGAGAACACATTATACTATCTTTACGTTTAAAATTTCTCTAAAAAATGAGAGAAGCAGTAAAACAAACATGCGCTATAAAAAGACACTATAGTAGTTAGAAGACTGTGAGATACTAAGATGTGGTTTCTGTTCTGAGGCTCAGCTGAACATAAAATTAACATACATGAAAGAAATCTAACAGTGGGCCTGTGTACAATTATATGTCATTATGTAATAAATGCTTTTCAGTCCTGTAGGAGTTTACAACAGAGCAATAATGTTCCCCATGTACTTAGAAGATTTAGGCCTTGAAAGAAGAGAAGAGAGAGAGCAGATTACTAGGAGTGAAGACAGGAAAAGAAAGTTGAGTCACGGAGCACCTGGGTGGCTCAGTTGGTTAAGTGTCTGCCTTCGGCTCTGGTCATGATCCCAGGGTCCTGGGATCGAGCCCCACATCGAGCTCCCTGCTTAGCGGGAAGCCTGCTTCTCCCTCTCCCACTCCCCCTGCTTGTGTTCCCTCTCTCGCGGTCTCTCTGTCAAATAAATAAAATCTTTAAAAAAAAGAAAGAAAGAAAGTTGAGTCACAACGGAGGCACAGACTAGGTATAACTGGCCTAACCAGAGAAGATACATGTGGGAGTATAGTGAAAAAAAGAGATTACCAAGAAGGGCGGGGTAGATTATAGAAAGAGAAACTATAGGGAAGGGTTCATCGGTAGTCTGGGAAGAGGGGCACCTGGGTAGCTCTGTGGCTGAGCTTCAGACTCTTGATCTCAGCCCAGGTCTGGATCTCATGGTCTTGAGTTCAAGTCCTGTGTTGGCCTCCACGCTGGGCATGGAGACTACTTATAAAAAAATATATATGTGTAATTTAGGGGGAAATTGTGGCCACTGCAGAGTTCTCATGAGGTACTGTTCTGATTCATTTTCTCAGGAAAATTAGCTTAGCAACATTACATGGTGTGACTGAGGAGGACTGAAATATAATGGAGTCAAGATTATAGCAATAACCCAAATGTGAGGTGATTCAAGTGTGAATGAAGGCAGAAGCCACAGCAGGAATAGAAAGGGATATTTCAAAGAAAAAGAGAAAGGATTTTTTGATTAACTAGATATAAATAAAGCAAAGCAGTGAGTCAATCATGTCAAGGTTTCAATTCTAGGTGATTAGATGGTGTTATTTCAATTTATAAAGACACACAGGGATAGTGGAGGTAGACACTTCAAGAGAAGATAATTATGTTTGATTTCAGCAAAGTTGCAATTTAAGGAGACAACAGTAACCATAGTATTATAAAACCTAATCTTTATATTTAGCTTACTAGATGCCAAGTTCTATTCCAGATAGATGTATTAACGCATTTATTCCTGAAACATGCTTTTGAGGTGAGTAACGTTATTATTATTCCCATTTTACAGAAGAGAAAACTGAGATTCAGTGAAGTTACTTGCCTACGATCACAATGACAGTTAAGTAATGGAACCAGGATTTAAACCTGGGATTCATTGTATTGCTGAATAACCTTACCATGACATGATAAAGATGAAGAAATGTTTATGATAAATACCCTGCACAAAAGATGAATTTATTCATTAAGCTACATAGCTGTGTAAAAAAAAAAAAAAATCCCGGGGCGCCTGAGTGGCTCAGTGGGTTAAATGTCTGCTTTCAGCTCAGGTCATGATTCCAGACTCAAGCCCACATTGGGCTCCCTGCTCAGCGGGGAGTCTGCTTCTCCCTCTGACCCTTCTTCCCCTCATTCTCTCTTTCTCAAATAAAATCTTAAAAAAAAAAAAAAAATCTCACAATTTGACATTTTTAACAACCAATTACCTTATTTTTATGTTTCTGGAGAAAGGAATATTTTAAAAAGCTTTAAATAAACTAAAAATAATGACAAAAACACCTAAGAAATCAGAGAGAACAAAGATTTAAGAATTATTATAGTTAAACATAAATGTTATAAATAGCATTGCCACTAAATATTACAGTTTAAATGATGCTCTCTATCGTCACTCCAACATACAAGTTAAATAATTATTTGGTGTATTTTATCCGACCTTTTGTATACTCTTAAAAGATAAGCCTTATGTTTTTGAAATTCAATCAGAGGAACAATTTTTCAACAGAAGCTTCAAAATAAATTTCCTTTAGAAGAGACTAAAGCTTCAAAACACATGTCCTTCAGAAGATACTAAATGTTGCTACTTCCTTTATAGCAGAAGGCCTTGCCCTGTTCTTCCATTAACACACAAGATAAAATACAGCCATACAGTATAATCACACAGTAAATTGCCTTGTGAATACAAATATAATTTTTATATGGTACAGTCCATAAGAAGAAAAACTATTCTTCTTTAGAAGTATGACACTGAAACTTAGCTTTTCTATACCCTAGCAATTTTAAGTCAAGCAATATTTACTCACGTTCTGATACTGTATAAAGGAGGTTCTGGGGTAAAGGAGGAGGTAGTCTTGCTCCCACTGGTGCAAGATTGGGCACTGCACTTGTCCCAGGCTGGTCACGGTTGTTTATCAAGCTTGACTGTGTTATGGGTGGTCCTAAGAATTTAAAAAAAAAAAGAAAAGAAGAAGAAGAAGAAAGGTGGAGCATTAATGTTTCCTAACTAATAAAAATATTCACTATACTAAAACTAATTTGGATAGTCATAATTAAAGTACCTACTTTCGCATAGAACAGAACTAAGGAATTTGATAAATGCAGGCTTCAGCACTCTAAGTTGCATAATTAATTAAGATGACGTTTTAGCTCTAGAACAGACAAAACAATTCCAGGGTGGAAAAAAAAGGACAGTTACCTCCGGGGAGTGGGAGTGAAAAATGGCTGAGAAAGCACTTGAACAATCTTTCTGGGATAAAGGTAAGCTCCTTTTTTTAAAAAAAGATTTACTGGGGCGCCTGGGTGGCTCAGTTGGTTGGGCGACTGCCTTCGGCTCAGGTCATGATCTTGGAGTCCCGGGATCGAGTCCCACATCGGGCTCCCTGCTCAGCAGGGAGTCTGCTTCTCCCTCTGACCCTCTTCCCTCTCATGCTCTCTATCTCTCATTCTCTCTCTCTCAAATAAATAAATAAAATCTTTAAAAAAAAATAAATAAATAAAAATAAAAAAAGATTTATTGGGGTGCCTGGGTGGCTCAGTCGTTAAGCGTCTGCCTTCGGCTCAGGTCATGATCCCAGGGTCCTGGGATCGAGCCCCACATCGGGCACCCTGCTCAGCAGGAAGCCTGCTTCTCCCTCTCCCACTGCTTGTGTTCCCTCTCTCGCTGTGTCTCTCTCTGTCAAATAAATAAATAAAATCTTTAAAAAAATAAAAATTTAAAAAAAATTTTTTAAATATTTATTGATTTATTTGAGAGAGAGAGAAAACTTGAGCAGGGGGAGGGGCAGAGGGAGTGGAAAAAAGAATCATCAAGCAAACTCCGCACTGAGCATGGAGCCCAATGCAGCGCTCCATCCCAGCACCCTGAGATCATGACCTGACCCAAAATCAAGAGTCAGACGCTTAAGATTGAGCCACCCAGGCACCCCTGGGATAATGGTAGAATTCTATAGAACTCTTAAGTTCTACAACATTAGGAACATGTTTAAATGTACTGATGTCTGCAACATACTAGGAAATGCATCAAAAATAATAATGGGAGAGATAGAAAGATACGTGATAATAGAAATATAGTAAAATATTAATCACAGAACCTTGATGATGAGTATATGGGTGTTCAGTGTACAATTATTTCAACTTTTCAGTTTGCTTGAAATTTTTCATAGCAAAATGTTGGGGGAAAATGACATTCTTGGGTTTCACTTTTAAACAGAAATATTCCCACCTATCACATCTTTAATTGTGAGAATTTCTATATAAGAAGATGCTTTTTTATCTGGGGAATAAAATCTCAAGTTGAGCTTCACAATTATGTCATTTACATGACAATATTAAATATATGTATCAGGTGCCTGAGTGGCTCAGTCGGTTAAGCATCTGCCTTCGGCTCAGGTCATGATCTGAGGGTCCTGGGATCAAGCCCCGCATGGGGCTCCCTGCCCAGAGGGGAGTCTGCTTGTCCCTCTGCCTGTCCCCGTGGCTTGTGCGCTCGCTCACTCTCTCTCTCAAATAAATAAAAAAAATAAAAAATAAAAAAAGAATCTAATGCATCCAATGTCTCCAAACCTTTATCAACTTTAATGTATTCTATAAAGAACATTAATGCAGGAATGCTAGGTGATAGATAGGTACATGAGTTCGTGCTAAACCATTTTTGTCAACTTCTTATGAGTCTACAATAATTTCAAAAATAAAAAGTTTAGGGGAAACTGCTCTCCCTCTCTCTCAAATAAATAAATCTTTTTATAAGTTCTTCAAGAATATTAAAATAATTTTTAAAGTCTTTTTGGAAATTTTCAAATACACACAGAAGTAGAACAATATGTGTACCATATGGACTGTCATAAAATTTATTTATCTGAGAGAGAGAGAAAGAGAGAGTGGCACATGAGTGGGGGAAGGAGCAAAGAGAGAGAATTTCAAGCAGATTCCCCGCTGAGTTTGGAGCCCACTGCAGGGCTCAATTTCATGACCCTGAGATCATGACCTGAGCCGAAATCAAGAGTCGGAGGCTTAACTGAGTGAGCCATCCAGGAGCCCCAAAAGAGATTTTCTTTAAAAACTAGGAAATTTCATTAAACTACTGGCATGTTCTTTTTTCTGACATCTTCAAAACTGGATTTCTTAAGATATTGTCAACTAGCAAGATTTTGACACCCAAGATTTTTTGAAGGTACTATAATCTAACACAACAATGGATAGAATAAAGAATAACATTTTAATTATAGGAATATATTCCAAATTCTATTAATTTACCTTTCAAAAACTTTAAATCTAGTATCGTTAGTGAAGAGATAGGTTCTTCTAAATACAATTCTTTGCTAAAGGACAAAATATTTAATGAACATGTACTTACTTGGTATGGGAAGCACAACAGAAGGTGGAGGCTGGCCATGTCCCTGGGGGACAGGAAGTCTCATACTGTGGCCAGGACCTGGACCTGGACCTGGGCCTGGGCCTGGGCCAGGACCTGGGCCTGGGCCTGGGCCTGGCATTGGAGGCATTAACATTCCAGGAGGTGGTGGAGGAGGAAGCCCAGGAGGAGGTGGAGGGAAAGGAATCATGCTTGGCAGAGCAACTTCATCAACAACCAGGGGATCATTTCCGTGATCAAACTGACAAAGGTCACCAAGTACACAAAATCCTCTTTCTGTAAGAATATAAGAAGAATCTTATTATGATCTTAGAGTTCAGAAAACAAATAAAACAAGACCCTGAAAAGCCTACCAATCTTATTTACAAAGTAATTTTTCTCCAAGGAATTTAAAAGCCTTAGTGTTACTCTGTTAATCATCACATATCCCTGAGGTAAGGCCAGACAGATGTACTCTCTACTTCCTATGAGACTATGCTTTGTTGAGGTAGCAAGTGACAGGGTCCAAAACAGGCTACTAGCCACTTTAGATTAACCGATTTGCCATTACAGTTTCCTAATAAAAATTCAGATTCAGGGTGCCTGGCTGGCTCAGTCAGAACATGCGACCCTTGATCTTGGGGTCATGAGTTCAAGCCCTACACTGGTCGTAGAGATTACTTTAAGGAAATTAAAAAAACAAAAAAATTCAGATTCATTTTAGCAAAGGCAGGGTATGGGGATAAGGGACTTAACTGGACAATCTAATTTCAATTATCTGTTTTCATGGTAGTATTCTAAATTCTACATTCTTGCTATATCTGCAATTTGAAACTTTAAAATATTTAAGTGGGGGTTCAGCTGGTTGGCTCTGTGGCTTAAGCATCCAACTTTTTTATTTATTTATTTGAGAGAGAGAGCATGAGCAGGGGCAAGGGACAGAGGGAGAGGGAGAGAGAATCCAAAGCAGACTCCACACTGAGCATGAAGCTGACGCAAGGCTCGATCCCACAACCCTGAGACCACGAAACCAAGAGTTGAGCACTTAACCGACTGCACTACTCAGGCGTCCCAAGCATCCAACTCTTGATTTCGGCTCCAGTCATGATCTCAGGGTTGTGATATTGAGCCCTAGGTCGGGCTCCATGCCCATCTCCCTCTGCCCCTCCCCCCTTAAAAAATAAATAAAATAAAACAAAACATTCAAGTGGGAAAGGGCACCTGGCTGGCTCAGTTGGTGGAATGGGTACCGCCAACTCTCAGGGTTTTAAGTTTAAGCCCCAAATTGGGTATAGAGATTACTTAAAAATAAAATTCAAAAAAAAAAAAAAAAGAAAATATTCAAGTGGGCATTATTTACTAGGTGATTCACAGCAGCACTGTTTATAACAACAAAATATTAGAAACACCCCAAAAGCACATTAAGAAACAATTAAGTTAAACATATTTTTCTACATATAGAATACTTAAGAAACCTAAAAAAGGTATTAAGGAAGCCCTAATGTATTAATACGGGATAACTGCCATAAAATACCACTAAGTGAAAAAAACATGCAGAAGAGTATGAAGAGTGTATTACCGTTTATGTGGAAGAGAAAATAGGGGAGACTATACATATCTGTTTATGTACAT